TCACAGGTGGGCATGGCTGAGGCTTGAACCAGGCCTCCCAAATCCTACACTCGCATCCCCCTCCAGATGCCCCGGACAGCGCCCGGGGAGGCCCCACACGGCCAGGCTGCCGCGTCAGTGGGGTGGGGCGCCCGCCGCTCCTCGCCCTCACTCTCACCCAGCACGCTCACGGTGTGCAGCCGGGCGTCCTCCCCGGCCGCGTTGTGGGCCACGCAGGTGTAGGCGCCCGAGTCCGAGGCCATCAGGCCCTTCAGCACCAGGGAGCCGCTGTCCAGGTAGAACCTGCGTGGGGAGGGGGAGCCGGGAGCAGGCGCGTGAGGGGCGGCCCCCTGCCGCCGGGGCGGGGGAGGGCACAGGCCAGGCCTTTACCGGAGGGGGGGGCCCACGCCCTGGCCCAGCGGGCGGCCGTCCTTCAGCCAGGCCACCTCGGCGGTGCCTGCCCATCCGCTTCGCAGTCCAGCCGCACCTCCTGCCCCTCCAGGACGCTGTGCTCCTGGGGGGCGCCCGCGCTCCGGATCCGGGGGGCCACTGCGGCAGGGGCTGCGGTGAGGCCCGGGCGGGGGCAGGGGCAGCGTGAGGGGAGGGCGGGGGGAGGGTGCGGGCCGGACACATACCCAGCACAGCCACCGTGAAGTCCTTGCGGGCCTCGGCCTGCGCGTTCTCGGCCACGCACGTATAGGTGCCGGCCTGGGCCGGCTGCAGGCGACTCAGCTGGAGGCGGCCCCCCCGGGAGACCACGCCGTGCGCCACGCTGCTCTCTGCGGGACAGACGGGCGGGCCGGGCCGTCACCTGCGCGGACCTGCCACCCCAGGTGCTGCCCCTGGGCCCAGACACAATGTCATGTGACTTCCTGAGCAGATGTCCATCCCCCCCCACAAAGCTGGAAAGACCCCAGGAATCCTTGCACCACTCACTGCTTCCTGTGTTCACGGGGAAACTGAGGCCCAGGCAGAGGCAGGGCTCCTCCCATCCACCTCATGGCTTTCCTCATCCTGGTCCTGGTTCTGTCTTACAGCCCCTCCCGACTGCCTCCCACCGGGACAGTTCTACCCAAGGGCCCCCACTTCCTTAGTGTCTGGGACTTGGTCCTCGTTCTTTCTTTTTAAAAAATATATGTTTATTGATTTCAGAGAGGAAGGGAGAGAGAGAGAGAGATAGAAATATCAGTGATGAGAGAGAATCATGGATCGGCTGCCTCCTGCACGCCCCACACTGGGGATCGAGCCCACAACCCGGGCCTGTGCGCTGACCAGGAATCAAACCGTGACTTCTTGGTTCATGGGTCAACGCTCAACACTGAGCCACACTGGCCGGGTGTTGGTCCTCTTTCTGTCTCCGCTCAGGCCCACTTAACCTCCCACCTTCCCTCCAGCTCCACCCGCCCCTCCCACCGAGCCAGGCTTCCGATCACGGTGAACCAGCCGCTCATTGACCCCGACGCGGGCCAGCTGGGGGCTTCCCTGGGCCCCAGCTCAGGCTGCACGCCCACCTCCAGCCTAAAAGGCCGCCCCTCACTCTCTCCAGCTGCGCCTCTGCCCTGAAGCCTCTTCTAACTGCGCCTGCCCAGCCCAATCCGTCCTCCCCCAGCTCATCTGTCCAGCCAGCCCTTCAGCACAAAATTGAGCAACTACTGCATGTCCGACTGTGAGCTTGGGAATGGAAGATGCACAAACAGTCCCTGTCCTCAAGGAGTGCTCAGGGCATCAGAGATGGGACACAGGCACCACCCCGGGTGGAGCCAGGAGCAATCAGGCAGGCCTTCTGGAGGAGGTGTCTCAGCTGAGACGTGAAGGTGAGTAAGAACCAGCCAGGCGACAGTGGAGGTGGGCAGGGGAGTCGGGGTGGGTGTTTCAGGGAGGAAACGGCGTTGCCAAGCGCTGGAGGTCAGAGAGAACAGGGCCCAGGCAATCCCGCGCCCAGGCAGAAACCCGAGGGAGGAATGTGCGCGCCGTACAAACACGCGTCGTCATAGCCAAAGGTGGCAACACCCGGTCCACCAGCGGCCGCACGGATAGAGAAAACGGAACATGCCCACGCAATAGTCATTCATAAAAAGGATGGAGAACAGAAGTTAATTTCACTTAAAGAATGAAGAACTGACCCACACTGCAACACGAATGAACCTTGAACCCACGACGCTGAGTGGAGGAAGCCAGTCACGAAAGGCCACACACTGTGTGCTTCCATTTGTGTGAAATGGACAGAAAAGGCAAACCCACAGACAGAAGCAGGAAGTGGCTGTCTACAGCTGGGGGTGGGGGGTGGGGGGCGGTCTGAGGGAAATGGGGAGCGAAGGGTAATGGGTATGGGGTTTCCACCGGCTTTCACTGTCATTTTATTAAAGGAATACTTAGCACTAAAAAGGTAAGAAGAATCGGATGCACTCACCAATGGGCATTCTGTCCCTCAGCCAGGTGACCCTGGGGGCAGGGACCCCGGTCACATCACAGGTCAGCACCAGGGGGCTCCCAGCCACCTGGCTCACTGTCTCCGTCTTGGGGTTCTCAAACGTTGGGGGCACTGCAGGAGAAAGGCCAGATGCCCAGAGTCTTAAGACTCTGCCCTCCCTCCCTTCCTCTCAGATGTTCGAGAAAGCCCTGCCCACGGCCGGGAGTTGGTATTTTAGGCTTTGCCATTGATGGAGATGTGCGCTGGTTTATTCACAAGTGGAACCCGCAGCTGGCTGCTTCAAAACATCTACAGAGCAGAGTCCAGGAGGGGTCCGCTGAGCCCAAGGATGGTAAGTGCATGGCTCATGGCTCAGCAGTTCTAGCTTATGCCAGGACAGACATCACTAATCAATCCCTACACTCTCCTGCTCGGCCAGGAGGAAGTCACGTACCCCAGGCAGCCACCACCACTGGAACAGAGACGGCTGTGCTGAGGATGAAATGCCATTACCCTCAGGGACCAGACATCGCCCCCTGCCCACCGTGCATCAAGGTAGCCATCAGGCGAAGGGGCGTGAGCTTCGAGCAGCAGGCATGGTATCAATAGTTTATAACAATGGTATTCAATATGGCTCAGGGTTGGATCTTCCCACTGCTCCCCTGGTGGGGACGCTACTGCTTGGCTATTTGCGGCCAATAGCTGGTGTCTGCCCAACCTGTCTTCTCCATCTTGCACAGCAATTGTAGTGAGCACATGGTTGCTCAAGTGGAAACTACATTTCCCAGCCTCCCTTGCAGCCTGCTGTGGCCAGCTGCCTAAGTTCTCACCAAATGGAATGCAAGCAGAGGGAACAATTCTACTTCTGCTCTTTTCTGCTTCCTGTGGGCTAGGACAAGATACAGTGTCCCAATTTTAACCACATGGACAACACCCTAGGGACAGGAGAGCAACAAGATGGAAGGATCCTGGGCCTCTAAATTTCCACATGGAACCCAGCTACCCCACTCACGTCTGGGTTTATAGATGAGAGAGGTAAGCCCTATTCTGATCCTGCTCTTTTCAATTCCAGATTCTGTTCCCCCAACACTGGGCAGCCCCAACTCTTTCCAGCTGCTGCCCTTCCCATCCTCAGCGGCCTGTGTGTTGCTAAGGATCCCATGAGATCGCTCGCAGACGGGTCCCAGCTTACCCTGGACGGTGAGGACGAATGCCCGCATGGCCTCTCCAGCCGTGTTGTTGACCTTACAGCTGTACACACCTTTATCTGACACCTGGGACGGAGAGCACACCGTGTGCATGGGGCTGGGTTCCTACGGCTCCCCCAAAACATCCAGGTCCCAGAACCTGCCAGAGCAGGGACTCCCCAGATATGCTGGTCCTGCTTGGGAAGTCAAGGGGAGACCTGACCCTCTGACCTTTCCCAAGAGCCTCAAGAAGCAAGAGGGCCCCTGTAAGGTGAAAGACGGGCTCCAGACCTCCACCCCCTCCCGGGCCTGCGTGCAGCCAAGCCTGGCGGAAGAGGCCCCCTCGCTGTGGGATGGGGCTGAGCAGGAGGGAGGCGCCCAGGATGTATTTCCAGAGGAGCAGCCAACACCCAACAAACACTGTGACTGTCTAATCCACACCAGAGGGGGTGGGCAGAACTGACTCCCAGGAAGTTAGAATGTGAAGGGCCTGGGAAAAGCTTCCAGATCCTGGGGAAACTGAGGCAGGTGGCGGAGAACGGACCTGCTCAAGGTCATTCTGTGAGTCCATGTGGAGCCCTGCACTCTTCCCACTCTCCAGCCCCGGAGGCTGCCAATCAAATTGGTTTGGGGTCTTGCAGGCTGAGGAGGTAGCAGCCCCCACATCCTGCCACCCAGCCACCTGCCAGGACCAGGAGGTGGCACTGTATGGCCGCCCATACCCCCGGGCCGCTCACCTGGGTGTCCAGGATCGCCAGCTTCTGCCCACCCTGCAGAGTCTGGGTCCGCGGCGCCAGGACCAGGGGCTGCCCATCTTTGTACCAGGTCACAGCTGGCTCAGGGAGCGAGTCTGTCTCACAGCTCAGAACGGCCTTGTCCCCTGCCCTCACCGGGACCCCATCCTGGGGGCCGCCGAGAGCCTGCCTGAAGGTGGGGGGAACTGGGCCAGGGGACAAGCAGAGTAAGTGCCACGCCTCCCCCGTGTCCTCCCCAGCCCCGGCCACCGGAACAGTCTATGGAAGCCCACACGGTGGACCCCACCCCAGGGAGGGCTCAGACCCAGGGAGTCAGGAAGAGAACCAGGCAGCATGCCAACGACCTGCTGGGTGGCCTGGGAAAAGCGCCTGCCCTCTCTGGGCCTCAGCCTCCTGGGCCCTGTCCCACACAGGGCGGGCCCCCCTGTGTTAGAGCCCCTCGGGGTCCCCACAGCCTGTCCCTCCAGCAAACCAAGGCAGAAGCCCCACTGCCAGCTGTGAGCCCCCGGGGCCTGGCAGTGTCCGTCACAGGGCAGGTGAACACACAAATGGATGAGCCAGCCCCGGGCCTGGGAAGAACCTTCCAGTGAGTCCTGCTCAGGACATCTTGGGCCAGCTTTTCCCCCAGAGGATCCCGAAGACCAGGAGCCCTGAGACAGGCTCCCTGCGGAGAACCCCGTGGTCAGTCAGGCGCGGGAAGGGCCCTCCCCTCAGGTCAGAGCTCACTGCGCCACGCCCGGGGCTAAGCGCTCACTTCCCATCCCATCGTATAGTTCCCGTGGTCGGCAAACTGCGGCTCCGACAAACTGCGGCTCGCGAGCCACATGCGGCTCTTTGGCCCCTTGAGTGTGGCCACAAAGTTTCAATCGCACTGTACGTGCGTGCCCTCACGTGGTATTTTGTGGAAGAGGCACACTCAAGGTGCCGCAGTTTGCCATCCACTGGCCCCAACCCCACAGCTGCAGAAACAGAGAGGTCACCCAGTGGGTGTCACTGCCTCGGAGCTGGCCCTCTTGACCGCCACATTCTTGTGACGCCTGCGC